TCATGTTTATCTGAGAAGACGCTATTTTGCCATGGCTGTAAGATGAAGAATGCTAATGTATATTTTTATTATGGTAGGATTCAACCTGATATAATCGTCCTGCCACTATATAATTGCCCAGAACGTACATTCTTTTTCATTTCTAATTGATTAAATACAAGTTGCATTTCATGAGTTTAATTATTTACTGAATAATTTGGAGTGTTTCACTTTACAGTTTTTTTAAATGTATTTTGCGAAATGATTCAGTTTTGGATCATTCAGTTTCAGTATTAGCTGTTCTTTCCTCCAAAGTCACAATAGCAAAGAGCAAAAATGATGGGATAGTAGGCCTTTTGGCCAGGGACAGAAGTTGCACATAAATCGGTTTAAGTGAACTGAAACTGGTTTAAACCTGTAACAGAACCTAAGTTCTGTGCACATAAACCAGTTTCAAAATGGCCAAAACTGGTTTAAGATCAACCTGGTAGAATGTATTATCAGACTTAACTGATTTATGTCAAACTGGTTTATGGAACTTCTGTCCCAGACCCCTTCTAGGTTTAACTGAAATCAGAGTCCCCCAACATCTTGGCATGCTTTTCAGCCCTGAGCTGCGCTGTCTGCTCTAGAGAGCAGGGCTGGCTCCTCCCCTCTCCTTCCTAGCCAGAGTTTTGGCTGGCTGAGGAGGAGGTGGAGATTGCAGGCACAGTAGTTAGTCTGCCTGGCTGCCCCCTGCCCCACCCTCCCCTTGCTTGCTGCTCAAGCAGAGATCCCCCTGCTCTCCCACAGCAGGGACCTCAGTGGCATGGACCCCTGCCAGCATCTGGCCACGCCACCCCCATGCTAGCTAATGCTGAGAGGTGTCTGTGTGTGTATATCTCCAATTTCACTGAAACAAAGGCATACAGAATGGTGTCTGCTTAGAGCTTTTTGGAATTAATCAACAGGTCAAATGGCAATGTCTTCCTTATAAGTGTCTTGGAAAAAGCAGCAGCCGCTGCTTAAGAAGAGCTTGAACTAAGGAGAGAGGCTTTTATTTTCTTGATGAGCTTGATAAGCTTTGTGTTTTGATAAGCTGTCTGCTGCTTGCTTCAAAGGCTGCAATATGTCAGCATTCAAGAGGGGACAGAAAGGTGTGAGAAATGACCTGGTTTGCAATGAATGCAGTGCCTTTCAGTTTGCTGCAGACAGTATGAAGAAGCAGGGAGAGGGAGATTGAAAAACTCGATATCGTCAACAGATGCATACAGTCCACACAAGCAATCCTCCCTCTCCCCATCCCTCCTTGACCTCAGAGTGCTAGCCGGGGGCTGGGGTCTGGCAACATTCCCTGCCCCCTGAGGAGTGTGGGGAAGCTTGGCAACAGCTGCTTCCTCCTCCCCTCCAGGCATATCCTGGCTAGGGACTGTGCAGGGCAGGGTGGAAGTGTTAACCCCTCCCTAATCATAGTGTCCTGCCAAGGCCTGGCTCTTGTGCCCCCTGCCTTCCAGCCTGAGCCACTGCAGACATATGCCTGCATTTCTTGATTCAAAAGTGAATGTCTGTCCACTTGCAAATCAGTTCAGTCTCTGCAAGTTAGACTAACCTGCAAAGATTTAATCAATTCAGGCTTGGGCTTCTTGAATTGTCTGTCCCTAGCCTTTAACTTCAAAGTAGGTGATTAGACTTTGGCTCAGGTCACTGGTGTTTGAAGGACATTGCTGTGACGTTTGAATACTGACTTTTTGAGTTAAGCATTTCCATTGGACTGGCACCTTTCAGGAAGAAAACCCTCTATCTACAAAACTAATCTTTCCAAAAGAGACTTGGGTCATATATAGGTAAAGCAGTGTGAGGAATCTCCTACTACTGCTTCCACTATTTGTCACTGGCTAAAATCATCCAGTCATGATTAGTTATATATTTCTAAAAAATGTATGTATTCTATATAATAGCAAAGAGGAATAAGCTATATACTTACAACCTTCTTTAATGCAACCCTAACTACGGATCTTTATAAAGCTTAGTTGTCAAAATATGGTTTTTGATTTTTTTGCTCATCTTTATAGAAGCCGATACTTTCATGTCAGTGACTGAGAAAATTATTTGGCATCTCCTGGTACAGTATGCTGTCAATAACATAGTGTGCGCGCATGCGTTTTATCTTGCCAGGTGCTGTTATATTACTTGGGAGAACCAATATGTTCCGCTTTAATCATCCCAAAGAAGCTGCCAAACTGAGGGAAAAAAGAAAGGTAAGATTAAATGAGTACTTGGGGAATTTAAATCTTTTCACAATTTTATATCTAATATATCTATATCTTGACTGCTTTAGATTTTTTTTGCCCTGTTTCATATCAAAATAGTTCATGTTTGTCAAGTGGGAAAAAAATATACGTATGTAAGCATAGCAGTGGCTCTTTAATATTTTCATTATGTTCTCTGTTGTTAGAGTGGACTGCTGTCTTCCTTCAGCTTGTCCATGACAGATCTTTCCAAATCTTGTGAGAACCTCTCAGCTGTTATGCTTTATAATCCTGGGTAAGTATACTGAGAACAACAATTATGCAAAAGTCATAATCCCCCCCCCCTTTTTTTTTTTTTTAATTTTTT